ACGGTATCTCGATGAGATGCATGGGCCAGAGTATCGCTAGGCGAGATGCATGGGCCAGAAGTCTCACGGGGCCTGTATGGGCCAGTATCCATGACGATGGGCGAGATGTATGGGCTGTATGGGCCAGTATCCATGAACGGAGGGGATGATGGTCAATGCCCATGAGCCCAGAGAAGTCCATTGACTCCAACGAACGGAAACCAGGTATCTCCATGAACTCCGAGAGCACCCATCGACCCGACAAACCATGGCCATGACCGACAACACGGGTATCTCCAAGGCTGAGAAAAACGAACGGGCCAGAATCTCCACCCCCAGAAACCTCCCACCCAGAAAGCACAGATCTCCGTGACTCGCGTACAACCCACAGGCTCGGATGAAGCCCACTGGCTCGGATGAAGCCCACTGGCTCGGATGAAGCCCACTGGCTCGGATGAAACCCACAGGCTCGGATGAAACCCATGGGCCTCGATAGGTCCACGAGCCCCAAATCCCATCAGCTCGGAGACGATCCAGGTAAGGCCACGGCCATGCTCCCCACAACCATATATCTCCAAGGCTCAGAAGCATCCATGAGCCCAGAAGCATCCATGAGCCCAACATCCCTACCCCAGATGTCTCCCAACCCCGGAATATCAAGAGCTCGACCCCTCTCTGTAAATCCAGATACAGCCCACCAAACAATGATACTCAAGAGCCACGACACATCCATGGCCCCGTCTATCCACACCCTGGTATCTCAATCCTGTAATCTCCACACTCCATCTCCACACTCCATCTCCACACCCCTCTCCACACCCCACTCCACACCCACATCACACCCACACTCCCATCACCCGGGCCAGCATGGCCCTAGCGCTGCTTCCCCGCCTTCTTCTCCTTCCAGCTGCCCAGGAACACGTGCTGCACATACGCCCACCGGTCGGACGTGGGCCGGGAGCCCATGTGGCCCACGCCCGGCGAGAAGCACGTGATCGGCAACACCAACACGTCCTCCAACACGAGCGGCACGGCCATGCCCGTGAGCACGCGCCACGTGACGATCGGCTCGTGCTTGTCCTGCGGCTGCGCCATCAACGCGTCCGGCTGCACGAGCCCGTTCATGTACGCCAACACCGTGTCCGTGAAGATGCCCGGGCCGGTCCAGTCCATGACGTCGCCGCCCGGGTCCTTGCCCAAGACCGCCGCGAGCTGGCCGTTCTTCTTTCGTTCAAGCGTCAACTGCGTGATCCGCGCAATCAACCCCCGGAGCATCGGGTGGCCCTTTTTCGCCTGGAGGGTCCACTTGCAGAACTGGATGCGCCGCGCGTACCAGTCGGCCCAGTCGGGCCGGTCCGGGTCCGCCTCGATCCCCACCACAAGCCCGGCGTTGTTGGGCCGGCCGTACAACGTCCTGTTGCCGGACACCCACACATCCACCGGCTTGAGCGCCGTGGTGTCGATGTCCGAGTACACGCCGCCGCACGCGTAGAGCACAAGGTACCGGAAGAAGTCGGCCTTCAAGATGCTTTTCGGCATGGCTTGCCACGCATGCACCACGTCGGGCACCGGCTCGAAAAGCTGCCGGACCAAGCCGTCGCACTGCTGGTCCGAGAGCACATGATGGCTGTATCCGGCCTGGTCCCACGACTCCTGGAAACCGCGGTACCGGCTCGGGAAGCCGCCGTCTTCTAGGCCCACCTTCCAGGTCTGCCAGATCGTCTTGGGGAAGCCCTTCTGCGGCTCGTACGGGAACGCGGCCTCGAGCTGCCGGTGCAACGCCGACCCGGGCGGCATGTGCAAATGCCGGGCGCTCTGGAAATTGATGCCGTCTTGCCGCCAGTCGGGCTGGCTTTGGAGCACGCGTTCAAACTGCAGTTTTCGGGACTTGTCTCCGGGTTGCCGGGCGGACAAAGTGCTGCCGAAGGTGCGGTAGCACGTGTAGAATAGAAGGACCACGGCCGCGGCGAGGAGCCGGGCTTTTCGTCTCGAAGGGCCCATGACTTACGCTGCCCGAAAACGGGTCCAGATGTGAACTGGCACTTGAGACGTGGCCTGGTGCACGGGTGTCTTCCGTGTCTTGAGACCGGCCGGCTTTTTTTGCTGGATTGCCGAGCGATGCAAATCGACGTGAATGGATGAAAATGAAGCCGATGAAAATCGACGTGAATGGATTCATATCGACGTGAACGGATGGAAATGAAACAGATGCATATCGACGTGAAACACTTCACCCTCGGCTCTGGTGGCGCCGTCTCGGAACCCGTCCTGGTTCTACGACATGCGGCTCTTGAATATATAGTAGTCGCGTTTTATTAAAATAACACATTTCTATAGAACTCCCAAATGTCTCGAGCAGCCGGAGCCAAACGTCTTCAGCTGTCCGAGGAGAAGTTTTTGGAGGTTTCCATAAGCAAGTTGGAATTCTTTCCTGTTTTCCTTTCCTTTCCCTCTTTTTTTTTTGTGGTGGGCTTGGACCAGACGTGTCCATCTCTCCCAAGCCCTGATGGTGAATTGTTACTGCTCACAACGTCGCAAGAAGTGAATAACAATGAATAAAATAATGAACCCGAAATCAAACAGTCCATTCCCTGATGGCAAGATAAAAAAAAAAAGGAACAAAAAGAAGTATAATATGCAAACATTCAGCGGCAATTTCCGTCACCAGCCCCGGCGGCGTGCGCCATTAATGATGAAGAATCGTTGTCGAAGGTCCCGAACTGCACCCCGATGAAATCCCAGATGAAAAAATTATTGGAACAAAAAGCAAACAAATCAAACAAACGGCCTCTCGGGGTAATCAGATTACCACCAAGATGTGCTTTGGTTCAGGTTGCCGTAACCGCCGGTTCTGGAGCTGGCGCCGGTGTCGGCAGAACCCCAGTTGTTGCTAGAGCTGGAGCCCCAAGAGCTGGCAGAGGAGCCGCCGAAACCGGATCTTCTGGCGTCTCGGTTGGCGCCGCCGCCCATGCCGCGGCTGCCGCCACTCATGACGCCACGGCCGCCGCGGCCGCCGCGGCCACCGCCACCAAAGCCGGACTCTCTGCTGATCTTGATCAAGAACTCAGGGACTTCCTGCTTGGCCTCGGTCAACAACGAGATCATGTCCTTGGCAATGTTCTTGTTGTCTCTGTTGAAGAAAGATGTGGCGATACCAACATTACCAGCACGGCCCGTACGACCGATTCTGTGGACGTAGTCATCAATGTCGTTGGGCAAGTCGTAGTTGATCACGTGCAGGACGTTTGGAATGTCCAAGCCTCTGGCTGCAACGGCAGTGGCCACCAAGATTGGGGCGGCACCAGACTTGAAAGCGGCAAGCGCCTTTTCTCTCTCGTACTGGGTTCTGTTGCCGTGGATGGCGGTGGCGGGGAAGCCTTGGTCGTACAAGTAGTCGGCCAAGTAGTCGGCCATTCTCTTGGTCTCGGTGAACACAATGGTCAAGCTGGTCTCGGCCGCGCTCAACAAGTCCAAGATGACGGAGTTCTTCTCGTGGCCCTCCACCAACAACACCTTCTGCGTGATGTTGGCAGAAGTGGAGCCGACTCTGCCGACCGACAAGAAAATGTACTCCTTCAAGAAGTCCCTGGCCAACATCTGGATGTTTCTGGGGAAGGTGGCCGAGAACATGAGCGTCTGTCTGTCCTGCACGTCGGGCATGTCACAGCCCTGCACGATGTGTCTGATTTGAGGCTCGAAACCCATGTCCAACATTCTGTCGGCCTCGTCCAACACCAAGTACTTGACGTTGGCCAACGAGATCCGGCCTCTGTCCAACAAGTCAGTCAACCGGCCGGGCGCCGCCACCAACAAGTCGCAGCCTCTTTGCAAGGTTCTCATCTGCTGGCCAATGTCCACACCACCGTAGGCCACGGCGGGGCGCACCCAGGATCTGTAGCAGAACTTCTTGGCCTCCTCGAAGATCTGCGACACCAACTCTCTGGTGGGTGCCATGATCAACACCGTGGGGTACACGGTGCTGTACGAGAAGCTGTTTCCCTCGGGCTTGGGCGCAGGGCCGTTCATGTAGCACTCGGACAAGACGGGGAACAAGAAACCACCCGTCTTTCCGGAACCGGTTTGCGCACACGCCATCAAGTCTCTGCCGTTGGCCACAATGGGCACGGAGTACTTCTGCACGGGCGTGGGCTTGGTGAAGCGCGACTTGACGATGTTCTCCACCAACAACGTGTCCAAAGGAGGGGTGGTGAAGCTGGTGATAGGCTCGGGGACGTCGTCTCCAGTGGCCTCCACGGGGATGTCGTCGTAGTTGTCAAAGTTGATTCCGGACGACTGGAACGTGGGGTCCTCGGCAACGCCAAACAAGTCGAGCTCCATCTTCTCGTTGACATGGCCAGGCACGTGCTTGCCGTCGGCCCAGCAGCCGACTCCGGCACGGGGGCCGCTGCTGGCGAAACCGCCGCCTCTGCCGCCGCCAAATCCGCCGGAAGAGCCGCGGCCGCGGCCGGAAAAGCCCCTGTCGCCGCGGTCCGAGAAGCCGCCGCCGTTGCTCCCAAAACCAGAGTTCTGGCGGCGGTTCTGGCCGCCTCCTCTGCTCCGGAGGTGTGGTGGCACATACTGCGATTTCTGCGAGCCGCCGGCGTCGCCCCCGTTCACAGAGAGGTTGTTCATTTGCTGAGATAAATCAGTCATGGTGTATCCTTTTGTCTAGTTTCCTGTGGTCGCTTCTTGAGAAGAAGGTGGGTGTAATCAGAAAGGTGGTGGAATCCAAAGAGGAAAAGGTGTAGGGTCTGCCCAACTCTCGGTTTTTTTTCCTTCTCTTTTCGTAGGATTTTTTTTCTGGCGCTGTGCAGGACATCGCCGCGAAACCCACTTTTTTCCGATGGCGCTGTTTGGTCTGCCAGGACTCGAGCCGCCGGGGGCTCTGGCATGATCACGTGACCAGGAAGGCTGGCGGCGCGTCTACATGCGCTGCTTCACCGTGGCGGGAAACGGGCTTTGGCCGGGCTTGCTTGCTACCCCGGGGCGGCCGCCCGGGACCACCGCGTCACGTGACGGGCTGGGCGGGCCCGTTTCTTTTCCGCGCGTTTGCCTTCCACACACGCTGGCCACGTGACCTCGGCACAGCCAACGCCCGGGCCCGGATGCAGGGTCCTTGGATGGACGAGGCTCGTGGAGACAGTACCAAGTCAGACCTGGGGCTAGCCGGGTCCTTGGTGGCGTGTTCGAAAATCCACCAACTTTAGTCCCACAGGTTTGTCTCACTGTAGAGTCGCATCCATGTGATCTTTCTCTGATGACTCCTAGGTGCCCGTGGCGCCTGCCTTTGCTGCCTCGTTCTCCGTAGCTCCACTTTTTCCAGCCTCCGCCACGGCATGTGTCGTTGTGGGTCGAAGGTCTTAGGACGTAGCGAAATGGCGGGCCCAGCGCTCGTTCCATGACCTGGATTTGTCTCGCTGGATACAGCGGCAAGGCCAAAGAAGCGTACAGTGTGTGTTTCGTGCTGTCTATGTACCTTCGAGAACCGGGCTCTCCAGACAATGACATCTGCGCAAAGGACGGAAGCCGCGCCCATCCGCGGCCACCCGCCTTATCCAGACTCAGCACAGGAAGCCTTGCCTGTTCAAAACGCGAGACACGCACAAACGAGGGTCTGGGCCGCCAGGCCCGCCAGGACAGCAGCGAGAGTCGATCGCCGCACACCGCAAACCCACGTGCCCGGCCAGAAGCATCCGCTGCTGGAGCCCCCGCGCCTAGAACTCGAGCCGGTCAAGCTCGCTGTCGTTCGTCTCGGGTGTGCCCGACGAGTTCTCGTGGAGCAGCACGGTGGCGTTGGGGTGCGCGTAGCAGGTCCTGTTGTCGACGAAACTGCCCGCAGGGCTCCTGCCGCCGCTGCCGCCGTGGACCGAGAAGAAGGGCACCGACAGGTCGAAGTTGGAGTCCTCGTCGAGCTCGCCCGCAGGGAGCTCTTCCTTGCCTTCGACGTGGCCCGCGGGGTCGGGGTCGCTGTCGCTGTCGCTGTAATCGATGTCGAAGCCGTCCTCCCTGGCGGCCAACTCGGCCAACGTGCCGGCGATGTCGTTCGGGTTGTGCTTCTTCTCGAACGCCGACTTGGTGTTGCCGGTGAGGTACAGCGAGAACGGCTTCTGCGCCTCGCGCGCGTTCCAGTTCAAGTTGCGGCTCACGGAGTCAAAGTACTCAGTTTTGGACGAGCGCACGGTCGGGAACGGGAACGAGCTCGCCTGCACCGTCACGTAGTGGCCCTTGCGCAACTCCGTACGCACCTTGCCGTCGAAGGACGCCCACGCGGTGGCCCTGCTGCCCGCGGGCACCTTCACCTTCAAGAGCATGCCGTCCGGCAAGAGAATCGGGCGGAACGAGAGCGTGTGCGGGCAGATGGGCGTCACGCTGATGGCACTCACGCCCGGGTGCACCAACGAGCCGCCCGCGGAGAGCGAGTAGGCAGTGGAGCCCGTGGGCGTGGCGATGATGAGCCCGTCCGCCTGCGCCACGGTGAGGAGCGAGCCGTCGCCGTACAACTCCAAGTTGGTCACGTAGGGGCTGGGCCCGCGGTCCACCACGAGCTCGTTGAGCACCTGCTGCTCGGTCACGAGGCGGTTGTCCGCGTCGTACACGCGGCACGTGAAGCGCATGCGCATGTACGCCCGCACACCCGTCTCGAGCACGGTGGTCATGCGCTTGCGGAAGTGCTCGAAGCGGAAGTTGGTCAAGAAGCCGAGCAGGCCGAGCGCGAACGAGATCACGGGCGGCACGATCGTCTGGAACAAGTTCAGCACGTGCAACACCGTGCCGTCGCCGCCGAGCGAGATGCAGAGGTCGAACCGCTCCGGGTTCTGCACGATCATCCGCCGGTCCCAGAACTTGAGCAAGTGCGCCGCGCCGGGGTATGTCAGGAGAATGCCCGGCGCGTCGAACCGCGGCAGCGCCCGGAGCTTGTGGTCCACGTACACGGTGATGTTCTCCGAGCGGCTGAAGAGCCACTCCACGACCTCGCGCGTGAGGTACGTGAGCGAGTTGTCGCGGGCCTTGGTCACGATCATGATCGCACGCACGTGCAACTGGATCGTGGCCTTGGCCAAGTTCTTCGTGAGCATGCGCACGCCGTTCGCCGTCTGCGCCAAGTCCGTGTGCGAGCGCACCTGTTTGAGCTCCTCTTTGTGGAGCTTCTGGAGCATCTTGCTGGCCGCCGGCTCCTTGCTTTTGTTGAGGGACAGCTTGCGGCGCACGTGACTGGCGGGGAGCGGCGATGTGGACGGCGACTGCCGCAACGCCTGGGTCCGTTGTGCGGACGCTGGTCTGGGAATGTCGGTCATCGGTTCGGGACTGGTTTTCGGGGTTCGAGCTCCGAGAGGCTGATGATCAGCGCGCGTCTTATTCAATCAGACAGATGAGCCAGAGAAATTTGTTGCCAACCAGACAGAGTTGTGTTGACCAGGCTGATTTATTTTCAGTCAGAATGATTGTGTTTTCCAGCCAGACAGATTTGTGTTAGCCAGGGATATTTGTTATCAATCAGACAGAGTTGTGTTTGACCAGGCTGATTTGTTTCCAATCAGAATGATTGTGTTTTCCAGCAGACAGATTTGTATAAGCGAGATTTGTTCTCAATCAGACAGAATTGTATTCAACCAGGCTGATTTATTTTCAGTCAGGATGATTGTGTTTTCAGATTTCTTGTCAATCAGGCAGAGTTGTATTCAACCAGACTATTTGTATCCGACCAGAAAGTGATTATACTATCCAGCCAGACAAATTGTTTCCAGCCAGACTGATTTCACCCAAGAAGATTTTTATCCAACTAGACAGATTTGTGTCCAACTAGACAGATTTGTGTCCAACTAGACAGATTTGTGTCCAACTAGACAGATTTGTATTCAACCAGACAA